CTGATTGATTACACTCCTGGTGCTGTTTTACATATTCTTCTGTCACAGAGATTTCCTATAAATTGGTAGTTACAGTTAGAGACTTGATCAGATTCTGATGCCTTTGTTTTTTTCGTTTGTGTACATAGTCAACATTTCATAGACTTTACATAAAAATCCTAATTTTGGCTTCATTGGAAAATTCTGCAGATCTGGCCTCCCCCCACCTACGCCCCATTGGCAAGGGTTGATCTGGGCCTGGGTAGTGACCACACCTGTTCCCACTTAGGTGGGATGCACATTATCCTGCAGACCCTAGTTCACACTGCTTCCTGCCTGGCTCCCAGGAACCTTAGAGCCCCTGTTCTAAACAACTGCCTTTTGGGGGGCTTTGGTAAGACTTCTCAACGCACCATCACAAGAGGCCTTTCAGGAATGTGGTGGAGAGTAGAGAGGATTCAGACACAGACTTTCTTAAAACGCTCAAGGGAAAGAGATAAACAGCCACATAAAGGGAGGCTAAGTGATAGAAATTTGGTGAATGCCCAGGACAAGGGAGAGAAATTAACAACAAATTAAAACAACAACAAATAAAACAACAAATTAACAGAGTGCTGCATACATGTGAGACAGAATGAGTTATAGATTCCTAACCCATGGTGGGAAACTAAGGAAGGAAGTGGGTTTTAAAAAGAGACAGGCTTTAGTCTTTTTATACATTATGATAATATTGAAACCTTAAAGGGGGGGGGCAGCAAATGTTACATTAACCAACAGTCCTAAATCAGAAAGTGCGAGCATGTATTTGTAGCCTAGCAGAAATCAAGTGGGAATTAAAGGAAATGGGGTAAAAAAGGAGAACCTCCTGGGAAAGGCCACTAGGAAAGGACCAGGAGCCCCATTCTGGACATATGGAACAACTGGTAGATATTTCAGAGGAAAGGATCTCGAAAGTCGTAGGATTTTTTTTTTTCTGATTTGCAAATATATTGAACTGAAAGGTATACAAATATAGAAAAATAAATCCCACTTAGTTGTTTTGGAAAGAATAAACCTTTACAGAAAAGCATAAAATTATGATAAGTTGGGATGTTCCTGTAAATTTCCAGATAGTTCCCCACACTCAGAAGAATGATTAAGAGAGAGAATCTAAGACTGGTTATGAGGAAGGGTGGAAAATTTTGAAGGACAGGCTGATTATGTAATTTTTCGGCTGGGGTGTTTCAAACTGTTGCCATGATATTTTAGTTATTAATAACAATTTGGGGAAATCTCCTCGATTCTGGAGAAACATTTGGCTCTAATGAGAAAGAAATGCCACTGTTTGTGAATTCCCAAGTGGATGTAAGGAGCCATTCACTTGCTAAGCCTCTTAGGGAAGCCAGAGCCGATTTCACCCTTAACAAGCTGTTGACAGCATCTGATCAAGGTACCACCTGGAACATGTTAGCAGCACAGAAAGTGGACTGTGGAGACAGACCTGTGTTTAAATCCTTTTATGTCACTCACCATGTGACCCTGGCAGCTTACCCAAGGAAAATTTCTAGGGTATAAAGGTTGCTTTGCGTTTGAGGCTATGGTTCTAACTGCGTGGATGGTAGGAACGTACAGCTCTGAATAATCGCCTTCCACTAGCAGCCACAACAGTGCTCACTTGCAGAGTGCTTACCATGTACCAGGCACTTTGGTGGGTCCTTCATATGTCATCCTATTTAATTATTAGAAAGCCCTATAAGGTAAGGGTGATATTAAAATAAGCCTCATTTTATGGACGAGGGAGTTGAGGCTCAGGGAAGTTAAGTAACTTGCCTAAAATTACACAGCAAGTGGCTCTGTAAGTAACAAAGCAGGGCTTTAAACCCAGCCACACAGAATCCAAATACCAAACTCTCTCGTTCTACTACCTCTCCCACCTTCCAGTGTTAGGGAAGCACAGAGAGTCATGCTTCATACTGGCACTTTCGAACCCATGGTTCCCAATTTGTGTGCCCCGGTTTTCTCCAAGGTCTCCAGACATTTTTCATGGCTTCCAAAAGCCTTAACGGAAACACTTATACTTGCAAGCAGACCACAGGCTTCTTTAGGCTGGAATCTAGGATTGACAATGGTTTGGCTCAGGTTTTGTAGAAGCTCTGATTGGCGGTTACTTACACAAAAACATTGCAAGGTTGTTTTTTAAGTGGGAAGATGAATCATTAGTTAATAAACACAATTTAGTGGACTAGATCTTTCTAAACATGTGGCCTACTGAGAAAGACTAGAGGGTGCTTGGCTTAGAGAAGGTTGGGAACTGCTAGTGTACATATGTGTGTATGTTGCCCAAACCGCCAGGCTTTAAAACCCTGTCTTTATTTTTTTAATTACATAATTCTTTGACTTTAAGTCAATGTATTTTCCCCTTGATTATTTCAAATGTTTTGCTAGTTGTATATTTGATATTGCAATCTACTTTAGTCTTCAAGATGATTGGTCGTCAATATGGTTGGGAACGGAGATGCAGAATTGCAAATATTTGTATTCCTAATTAAAAACCGGATAACAGGCTTTTTATCCTTTTAAGTTGTAACCTGGGAGTAAATCTTTGCTCAAGAAAGTTTTACAGTTAGACTCATACTACCAAAATGCAGGGAATATGGATGGTTTTGTAAAAAACAAACAAAAACCAAACAAAACCTGCATGTTAGTGCTCCAGGCCAATAACTCCACAAGGCAAGCTTGTGGCAGGCCTCAATAAATACTTTTTTAATGAGCAGTCCCTGACTCTTGGAAGAAAGATCCTAGCACACAGTCAGCGCCCTTTATTTGAAGACGACGACTGGGTCATTTTCGTGAAATGCTTTTTTATACCACGTTGGGAAAATCGATCTAGGCCTTCCCTGACAGCCATGGGAGAACACAGGTGACACGCTAGTCCTGAGAATTTGATTACGTTAAAACAGCACTTGAGTTTCTCCGAACGCAGCCTCTCTGAAATGTGCAGGACTTGGATGCCCTCTGAGGTCTGGATCTGGAACCCAGGGTCCCTTCTGCCGCCCCAGGCCTTGTTCTGATAGTGACAGTGGCCGCTGGCCCCCAAGCCGGTTGTCCTTGGGCCAGGTTCCTAGCTGCGTTGTCCCTAGGGAAGGAGGCGGAGGCCACTGCCCCTTTGGTGGAGTGTGGGGCCCCCGCGGGGCCGTCGTAGCTTCCTTCCCCCAGCCCCCACGCCGCCGTCGCACCAGGTACGGTCTGGGCCTCGCGCGGCCGTCGTGCGTCTCCCGCCCCCGGTCCCGATCCCGCCGCCGCTCTCCCGAGGTCTCGTTCTCTGCGCGGCGGTTCCCCGGGCGCCCCGGCCCGCGGGCTGAGGGTCGGGCCGACCTCTTCCCAGACCCGCTGAGTCCGCTGCCCCGCGTCGGGGGCGGGCCGGGCCGACACAGCCGAGCCGCCGGCGTCCATTTTCTGGGCGGTGCTGTGTGGCGCAGCGGCCGGACTCGCGGGTCCGGAAGAGCCATGGACCCCCGGGGGAGCGCGCTCGCTCTGGAGCAGTCGAGCCCTGTAAGTGCCATTCGTAGGGTTTGTGTGCGGGTCTGGGTGGGCGAGGTGCGGCCTGCGGGCGCGGGGCCCCGGGCGCGACCAGCCTGACCCCTCCTCTTCCCAAGAGGGAGCCCCGAAACCTGGTTGGCAACGGCTGGCGCAGAGCTGGGAGCTCCGCGGGCGCTGGGAAGCCGACTGCTTCAGGGACCCAGCGGCCGCAGGTGCCCGGAGCCGGGGGCCTGCGCCTCAGGGGTGGGGAAAGGGGTCAGCTACAGACCAGGCAGGTGGCGCCGCATCTCGTGGCCCAACTGTGCGACTGGGCTAGTGGGCGGGGGGCGCGGGGGAGAAATGCGCACCCAAGGGCTGGAGACCTTAGGGCTCAGGTCCCACAGGCTCAGTAACCGTGCTGACAGTCAGTCAGCAAGCCCCTTCCTCCGGCCTGCGACTGGGACCCCAGACCCGACCCAGTGGGAACCTGATGATCTTGGTTCAACATAAAGCCCCTGGAATTGAATGGGACGTGCAGAGGCAGGGCCCTGCCCCCAGGGGTTTGCAATCTCAGCCTCTTACTTCTGCGAGTAGTTAGGTCTGTTCTGTTGGTACAACACAACCGCCCGCTGGAAGCGGCTTCTTTGCAGGGTGTATAATAAATCACCCGAGATTTTAGTGTGTCCGCGATTCCACTTTCTAAGTCCTGCTCCGCTGTAGGTAAGTCACTAATTCCTTATTGCACTTTGGCCCTAATTGAATATTCCTTTTAAGGATCCATTATTGATGATATATGTTATGGTGCCTTATACATATTTTAAAGTCGAAACACTTTTCTCCCAATTACGAAGCTCCGCTACTCCCGTCAGGTTCGCAAGACTAAAAAGCATAGGAAGATTTAGTCCGTGGGTTCAAAGAACTTCTGGTGAGGTACTATAGGTAAGTGTAGTGTTTTTCCAACAGGAGTAGGGACCCATTAGAAAATTGTGGAATCAGTTTAGTGGGTTACTACAGGAATTTTAAAAAAATATATAAAATACATAATCCAATATAGAAAAGAAGAGAAAATATCGGGGTGCATTGCATATAGTAAGAGTAAATGTTGTTTTGAAACTTTGGGGTTTGTTTATATAATTTAATTTTTTAAAATGGTAGGTCACTGCCAGACAGTTTTTAAAACACTTGTTCGGAGTTAATAACCCAAGCGTTGGAGTCAGCTGAACCTGGGTTTCAGTCTCAAATCTAACATGAACTACCTGTGTGACCTTGAGTAGGTTCTGTGACCTTTTGGAGCCTCTTTTTGTGTAGCTGTAAAACGGCGAATGTCTCCTACATGAGGGGTATTATGAAGACTATATGAAGTCACATATGTCAGTATTTTTGCTCAGTACTTGACTTAGAGCAGGTGTTGAGGACACATGCTAACTGCAGTTACTGTTATTGTTGAAACATCAAATCCTGGCAGCCAGTCATGGGACACTGTGCTTTTTCTTCCCTTCTTTCTTTCTTTTTTTCTTTTTTAGATCTTGATGTGGAGAAGATGGAGGAGTCAGAACCAAGAATTGCCAAGTGATTTCTTCCGAAGCACAAGAAACTGTTAGTGCTGGTGTGGTCTAACTGAGGTAACTGAATTTGTGTCTCTCCTTAGTCTGTATGAAATACAAAAGGGTTTTTCTGAGGGACTGAAGGACTCCCAAGGGGCATATGATTTGTGCCAGTGATCCACCAGATTGGGGGATTACAAAGTGACCATGACATTTAAATGAACTGTTTATTAAGGAGACAGAAGGCCCCTGTGATGAAGAGGGGAACCAAGTGAAACAGGGCTTCAGGACAACTGGCTTCTCATTCCAGTTCCACCAGTGACTGTTGTGGGAGCATCTGTAAATCTCTTCATAGATCTCTAGCTTGTCCAGACTGGAAGGACCACAGACACCATTGAGGCTAGTTAGATGGCTCTTCAGGCTGACCCAGTGGGCTGGGGCCGAGGCAGGACTATACCCGCATATCTGCTGCTCAGTTATGTAGCCAGCTGGGGCTGCTGGAGGGGGAGCACCATGCTAGGCCCTGAGAGTACGCATGTGAAGAGCCCCCCCACACCCACCTCAGGACACTTGCAGTTTATGTAGACAAGAACTGACAGCCCAGCAAAATGCTCTATTTTTTTTTTTTTAATTTACTCCTCACAATACCCCTACAAGGTAAAGAAGAACAGATGTGAAGGATTAAAGTGTGAGCGTGCAGACAGATCATGGGGAGCTTTATATCTCATACTGTATGTGTGGTGCACATTCCGTATGCAAAGCACAAAGCTAGGACAACAAAGTTCAAGGCAAAGTGCTGGCCCTCGAGGAGTTTGCAGCCTAAACTCCAAAAGGCAGTCAGCTGGGCAGTGCCTGATGTTCCCCCCTCTCCTTCACCTGCCTCTCCAGCATTCAGCGTGGGATCTGTTACAGGAAGAGACCTGAGTAGCTGACATGTCACAGTTCTTGCCTTTGAATGCAATTTTTTTTTTTTTCCAAATTTAACCTATACTTCCATCCAACTACTAAAACTGATATTTTCAACTTATAAACAATAGTGAGGTCTTCTCTGAATTAATTCATGGATTTGTTCACTCAACAAATGTATATGAAACTCCTATAAGGCACTTGGGTATTCAAGATTAAACATACTGTCTTTTTACAATCATGATATTAATTATGTTCAGTCTCTTAGCAAGGAATTATTTTTCCAACTACTAGAGATTTGCTGCTGTTAACATACTAGAATACCAGCTGCAAGGAAGTTCATGATTGACCCATAAAAGATATATAAATCTTTTTTAAAATCTTGAAATCTTAAGAAAGGAATTGGGGCACCTGGGTGGCTCAGTCAGTTAAGCATCCAACTCTTACTTTTCACTTAGGTTGATCTCAGGGTTGTGAGTTCTCCCTCTTTCTCTCTTTCCTCTGCCCCGCCTTCCCCCTAAAAAAAGAAAAGAATTTCTTCTCTTTTAAATTTTGATTTTGCCATTACTGTCACCTACTTTTAGAAGTCTTTTATCTATACGCTTAACCAGTAGACATAAAGCAGTTTGGCAAGGGGGCTTTCTTTAACTTGAAATGCTCTCTTCTTCTAGCTTGGTAGGCTACCCAGGACTAGAAGTGTTGAAAGGTAAAGCAATTTAAGAGATACTTTAATTTACAGAGTACAGAGTTAGTGATAGCTGCCATAATTGCATTAAGCAGCAGGTATCAGTTTGTAAGTCTTGAATGCTGCTGCTAATAAACTTAACTCCAAAGAGAACAAATGAGATGTTGAATGTGAATGTGCTCTGTAAACTTCTAGGAGTTCTATAAATGTTATACAGCAAATATTTATTGAGTGCCTACATGAGTACGTCATTGTGCTAGAGAAAGCAGAGAATTTAGCAGCAAAAAGATCTGGTTCCTTCCCTCTCAGATCCTGTTATGTAGATGAGGAAATAACATATGCAGAATACTGTGTATTCTGCCTAAATGCCTAAAAAGGTAGTAAAAAGGAAGAGGTCTCTTTTACCTCTAGGAGTCAAGGGATTCTTTCTGGAGAAAAGGCATTTAATAAGCAAGTCCTTGAAGGATGTAGAGTTTCCATAAAAGAGGTACGGAGAAGGGGCTCCTGGGTAGCTCAGTTAAGCATCCAACTCTTGATTTCGGGTTAGGTCATGATCTCAGGGTCATGAGATTGAGCCCCAGGACATAATCTCAGGGTTGTGAGATCAAGCTCCCCGTCAGCCTCTGTGCTCAGCATGGAATCTGCTCGAGATTCTCTGTCTCTCCTCTACCTCTGTCCACACCCCGTAAATAAATTTAAAGTAAATAAATAGGGGCATCTGGGTGACTCAGTCGGTTAAGTGTCTGCCTTCGGCCCAGGTCATGATCTCAGGGTCCTGGGATCAAGCCCCAGCATCTGGGCCCCCGGTGAGCAGGGAGTCGTCTTCTCCCTCTTCCTCTGCCCCTTCTCTCCAGCCCTCCATTCCTGCTCATGCATGCCTTCACACTCTCTCTCACTCTCAAATAAATAAAAAAGTCTTTAAACAAGATAAGTAAATTTTTTAAAAGAGAGAGAGTTGGAGAAAAGACATCTTAGATAGGAAGAATAGGAGGAGAACAAGAGGGCATGGACCACATTCAGGGAAAGGTAGTGAGTCCAACTGAGTTAGAACTGGCCTAGATAGGCATCAAGTGGGAAATAAAACTGAGGACATTCAGTGGTAAACAATAATGGTCTTGTATGTCCAGCTGGGAAATAGGAATGCACTAAACCAATAGAAGTCATTGAATATATTTGAACAGGGGGGAGTCACAGCTATGCATCAGGGGCACGGTCTTGTGAGCAGCTCATGGGGAGATTGATCGGGAGGAAAGGCAGGGCAGAAACCAGAGACAGGGAGACCAGTTAGAAGGCTCCCACAGTCCATCAGGGAAAGGTGGGAGTGTGGGAGGACAAGGCCTGAAATGGGTGATAGCAGTGAAATGGGAAAGGAACAAATGCAAAGGAAAGAACACAGTCTGGCATCTCAGCAGAGAAGGAATAGCTAAGGCTGCCCAGAGCTTTCCGAAGTAGTGCTGCCAGTGAGGGAAACTTCAGATGTGGGTAAGGAGCTGCACTTAAGAGGTGCTGAGTTTGAGGTGGTAACAGCCCTCAGGGGGCTTTGTGCCACAGAGGAAGGCCAGAGCTAGCTCGGGAGTCATTAGGATACAAGAAAAAGTCAAGAGGTGGGAGAAAAGATTTTCTAGAGAGTGAGTACGGGGAGGCACACATTGTGGATGGAGCCTTAAGAGAAGGACCTAGGGAGTACCTAGAGAGAAATCTGGCAAGAGAGCAAGGAAGAACTGCAAGAAAGCAGGACTCCAGCAGCCAGCAGAAGGGGTTTCCCAGTGGAGGGAGCCAGAAGTGTCAGACTCGGGGTGGGGGTGGGGGCTGGGCCGAGGATGCCATTGGATTGACAAGGGCTAGATCATGGTTATTGGCTCTTTTCTTTTTGTGGTAATATGACTTGTACAATGAATATTAAATAGCTTCATTTCCAAGAATTTGTAGCTTGGACAAATCAAGTATCACTGTTAAATTTGACCCTAGCTAGCCCTCCAAAACACTTCTGATTACTAAAATTCCAGCTGTTAAATGTGGTTTCCATAGTAGTCGTGCACTTAATTCTGTTTTGAGCAGACAGACCGAAGAATATCTGTTGATAATCCTTTAAAAACTACATTTCTGTTGATGCAAGAGGTTTGCTAAAAGTAATTTAATTCCTTTGCCTTTTACTAAATGGCTATTATATGATATATGTATGTGTGAGAGAGAAAGGGAGGAAGAGTGTGTGTGCATGTGTGTGTGTGTTTTCATGGACATATGAGCTTAATACAATGGAATGAGAAGACTGGGGTCAGATAAATCTAGTTTCACAACCTCACCAGGCCATTTTCCAGGCTTGTGACTTCAGAAAAGTTACTCTCTCTAAGCCTAACTTTTCCCATCTATAACTCAAATAAGGTTATTTTGAAGATTGAGTAATATATAATTTGGTCAGGATCTGTACCATAGTAGGAAGTTAGTAAATGTTGATTCCCTTCTCCTTACAACTTTGTATCAGTATGTAAATTTCTGTGTAATATGCATCTATACACAAAGCCTTATCTTTATGACTCATTTTAATGTGTTGATTTTATCAAAGAAAGAGCATTCCTCCCGCTATAGCTAATCTATCCCGTGATAATTCAACTGACTGGCAACTTAATATGGATAAGAATCCACCTGGGGAACTTATTAAAGCAGGCCTTATTAAAAGGCCCAAAATCCAGAGATTCTGGGGATGTAGGTTTGGAGGAGGGCCAGGGAATCTTCATTTGAAACAGGCAGTTCAAGATGAGGATTAACAAGTACCAGTTTCTAGGAAGCAGAGGAAGGGGCAAACCTGAGCCTCAAAATGCTGAATACGAATCCAGTTTCTATCAGAGAGAGGTCTGTGCCCCAGTGTTTTATATTTGTATCGTTAACGTTTGTGGATTGTATCTGTAATAAGATAAAAACAGCTGAGCCCCAGGCAGTGGAGGCATGCCGGGATTCTCACCCCCCACCATATCCGGCTGCAGCACGCCCACAGCAGTACCAGGTGACGTGCAGCCCCCAGATCAGCTTCTCTTCCTGGAGGATCAATGGGGACACCCTGTCCCTCTGCCCAGAGTTTGCAAAAACAATGTAACTTTAAGTGTTGCGACAAATAATACATTAATGGCAGCAGCATTGCTCCGTGATGCCATTCAAGTATATCTGATGCCATTCAAGTATATCTGGACGCAGTTTTCTGACTCAGTGTCCTCTGGTTGGTAGATATCTCTGCTACTTGATTATGTTTTCTCTGCCTGTCTGCATCTTGGCATGGTAGAATTTTTAGGTCTGTTCACATTGCTCATCTGTCCCAACCTCATTTCACAGATGAGAAGATAATTGACCCTATTCTCCTAGCGCTAGTCCTCTTCCTTGCTTGTTCACAGGAAAGGATTGAGACATCATGTATGTCCTTGATATTTAAGCTGTGTATGGAGAATATAAAACGTATTTGACTTGTTCTTACTGAATTGTGCTTTATATTCCCTGT